AAATCAACATAAATAGTAAATACAATTAAATAATAACTATAAATGAAATATGTAGAATGAAGATAATCACCTTTTTAAAAATAAATACAAACACGATACAGTCAAATAATAATTATAAATATAATTAATAACAAGCAATAAAAATTTAATGATTTTAAAATATGCAATAAAAATATACAAAAAAATAACATAAACGCATTAAACAAGAATTCAGAAAACGAAATCACAAAAACAAATTAAAACATAAAACACACACGGCATACAAAAAAAAAAAAAAAAAAATCTATAAAAATTGGAAACATACCCTAAAACAGCAAAAAATTGGTCAAAAACACCAAAAATAAAATATATGTAAAAAAAGAGCCAGTTCAACCACATCAAAAATGTATATGTGCGTATAAAACACATACATATATGTAGAACAATAAAAAAAGGTGACAGACATCCGAAACTAACAAATAAAACAACAGAAGTATCACAGACAAACAAACAAACATACAAACACACATCTCGAAGAGGTACCGTGGGGAGGGCAGGGAGGGGAAGGGGGGGGGGAGCACTGGTAGAATTGTGATAGATTTTTTCAGGGAGGGGAGTGGGGGGGGGGGGTTCTACGGTTTTTATTGGGGGGGGGAGGGAGAGAATGGGAGGGGGAGGGGAGGGGGGCAAGGGAAGTGGTCAAGATTTCTTTACATGGGAGAGTGGGGGAGATGGGAGAAGGGGAGCGGCTGTAGGGAGGGGAGGAGAAGGGGAGGCGGCTGGGGGGAGGGAGGGGAAGGGGAGGCGGTTGGGGGAGGGGAGGGGAAGGGTAGTCCTTGGATTTTCTTCCAGGGGAAAGGAGGGAGAAAGGGAGAAGGGGGGGGGTCGGATTTTCCAGGAGAAAAGGAAAGGGATTTTCCAAGGGAGAAAAGGGATATTCTAAGGGAGAAAGGAAAGGGATTTTCTAAGGGAGGGGGAAGGTAATTTTCTAAGGGAGGGGGCAGGGATTTCTAAGGGAGATATTAAGGGAAGAGGCAGGTAATTTTCTAAGGGGGGGCAGGTAGGGGGGCAGGTATTTATTAAAGGAAGGGGGCAGGGATTTTCCAAGGGGAAAGGGATCTTCCAAGGGGGAAGGGTAAAAAAGGGGAAAGGGGAAGGGGTAAGGAAAAGGGGAAAGGGGAAGGGGGAAGGGAAAAAGGGGAAAAGGGGAAGGGGAAAGGGGGAAGGGAGCTTAACGCACCGACGGTCGGGTGTGTCGCTCCGCTGTCTCTTTCCTCTGCGCGGCGGGTCTTCGCTCTTCGACTCACACCTGCAAATCCACCGTTCAGAGTTTCACAATTTTATCGTTCCTCCTTTCCCATGGAATTAAAAAAAAAGCGGGAAGGGTGAGGAGATAGGAGTTTGTTCTCTTGATAAAGAAGCAATTCAAAATAATAAACAACAGTTATAATAAATATTGGTTAAAAAAAGTTTCTCCTATCCCATGGAATTAAAAAAAAGCGGGAAGGGTGAGGAGATGGGAGTCTTTTTAAGAATAAATTCAAAACAATAAACAATAATTAGAATAGATATTGGTAAATAGAAAAAAAAACGTTTCTCCTATCCCATGGAATTTTAAAAAGCGGGAAGGGTGAGGAGATTTTTTTTATAAATTCAAAACAATAAACAATAATTAGATTAGATATTGGTAAATAAAAAAAGAGAATTCTTATCGTTTCTCCTATCCATGGAATTAAAAAAAAGAAGCGGGAAGGAGATAGGAGTTTTTCTGATAAAATAGAAATTCAAAATAATAAACGATAATTAGAATAGATATTGGTAAATAAAAAAATATTTATCATTCTTATTGTTTCTCCTATCCCATGGATTAAAAAAAGCGGCAAGGGTTAGGAGATAGGAGTTACTTTCCTTTTTATAAAGAATAATTTTAAATTTATAAACGATAATTAGATATTGGCAAATGATAATAAAACGATACTTATTGTCTCTCCTTTCCCCCGTAATTAAACAAAAGAAAGTTTTTTTTTTTTAGATATTTAGAATCATAAACGATAAATAAAATAGATAATGAATAAAATGTGATCATTCATATCGTCTCTCCTTTCCCGCGCAATTTTTAAAAAAGGCGGGAAAAGTGAGGCGATAGAAGATTTTTTATAAAGAACATATTCATATATATAAGAATAATAAACGCTCAAAAAGATAAATATTGGTAAACGAACAATTAGATAATTCATGATAAATATACTGATGGATAAAATAGAATTAATTACAGAGATCTCGTATATAAAGGGTATATGGCTATATATAGGCTACGTGTTGAGGCGTGCGTCCGTGCGTGCGTGTGAGGGGGTGAGGGTGAGAGGGGGGTGCGATAGGGGGCAGAGAGGGGACAATAAGTGGGGGAAAAAGAGTACAGAAGAGAATAAGAAAGAGAAAAAAGAAGAATGAACAAAAACAAAAAAAGAAAAGAAAATCTAATTGGAGCAAAAAAAGACAAAAGAAGAAACAAGAGATGGGAAAAGGATATAAGAGAAGACAA